CCACATTGTCCTTTTGTGGTGGAGACAGATGCATCCAACGTGGCTATTGGGGCAGTGCTGTTGCAAGCCCCAGGGGATGGCGCCACTCTTTTTCCCTGCGCTTATTATTCCCGGAAACTCACTCCTTCCGAACACAATTACACCATCTGGGAAAAAGAGTTGCTGGCTATCAAGGTTGCATTTGAGACTTGGCGACATCATCTCGAGGGGGCCCGACACAAGATGGAGGTCCGGACAGACCATCAGAATTTAGAACATTTGTCAACGGCACGAAAGTTGAACCAGCGGCAGACCCGGTGGTCATTGTTTTTTGCCCGGTTCAATTTTTCTGTGACCTATAGCCCCAGTGGTCACAATCAGAGGGAGGATGCCCTGTCCCACAAACCTGAGTACCTTTGCCCCGAGGACCCCCTTTCTCCATGGACAGTGCTGCCAGCAGAATCCTTGGCTGCAGTCCAGGAACCGGTGGACTTGCAGACTCAAGTGCAAGAGGTGCAGCGCCTAGATGCTTGGTTGCAGCAGAGGATGGAGGAGATTGGACCCGAATCCCCATGGACTTTGGAGGAGGGCTTACTCAAGCATCGGGGCCAGTTGTACTTACCCACGGGGCCACTTTGAGCCCTTATTATGACTCAATGTCACAACAACCCTGCAGCCGGCCATTTTGGGTTTTTTAAAGACCTTCCATCTTGTAACGTGGACTTTTTGGTGGCCTCGAGTATGGCATGATGTCCACGCCTATGTCACGTCCTGTGTACCGTGCAGACAAGCAAAAGCCACGACGGGTGCGCCTCCTGGTCTCCTCCAACCTCTGCTGACTCCAGAAAGACCATGGGGAGCGATTTCCATGGACTTCTTGACTTCATCCTCAGGATTTACGACTGTGCTTGTGGTGGTCGACATGTTGACAAAAATGGCCCACTTTATTCCATGTCATAAATTGCCATCGGCCCATACAACTGCCCGTTTGTTCTTGCAGCATGTTTTTTGTCTCCATGGTCTGCCAGACAGGGTAGTTTCTAACCACGGTATACAATTTACAGCCCAATTTTGGAAAAGCCTGACGACAGGTGCAGGTGTGCTTGTCATCGGCGCACCATCCAGAAACTGATGGTGGGACGGAGAAGGTCATTGGCATTCTCAAGCAATATTTGCATTGTTTTGTAAACCACCGGCAGAACAATTGTCTCCCTCTGGTGGAGTTTGCATTCAACAACTCCCAGCACACCTCCACCCAAATGACACCATTTTATGCTAACGTGGGATACCATCCGCAGTTCTTTCCGTTGACACTATTAGATTCCCCTGTTACCGAGACTCAGGAATTCCTTTCGGAATTACACTCAGTTTAGCAGTTAGTTTGGCAGCAACTGATATGGGCCAAGGAAGATTACAAGCGGTTCACAGATCGCTCTCGACGGGCAATGCCTCCGCTGGCTGTAGGAGACCGTGTGTGGTTGTCCACAAAACATCTCCAGGTCGACCGCCCAATAAAGAAGCTGGACCATCGGTTCATCAGCCCATTTCCCATCGAGACGGTCATCAACCCCGTAGCCTTTCGACTGACTCTACCGCGCTCCATGTGAATTCATCCGGTCTTCCACCGTTCCCTTTTGGTCCCTGACGCCCCTTCGTGTTATCTTAGACATCCCACAGCTGATGATCCACCACCTGTGCCCGGTGAAGATGACGCAGTTGATGGCAACGTGGTTGGCATTAGGGATTCCCTCTGGCTGAAAGGGCAGTTGCAGTATTTGATCGAGAGGCAGGGGGATGGGCCAGAGGCCCTTTCGTGGGTGGATGCTTCCACGACCCACGCCCTGGACCTTATACGGATGTTCCATGACCATTTCCCCTTGAGACCACATCCTGACCGTCAGACTCAGGTGAAGGGCCCTGCAGTGAGGGATAGTGTTGTGGCTCCAATTCCCGAGCCTGTGCTGTTAGAGGAAGAGGACTTGGAAGATGATGAGGAACTGGGAATGCCTTCCTTTCCAGGACTTCCTCTCTGGCAATGCCTTCCTCCCTGATAATGCCTCAGGTTTCATCAGACAACCGAGAGGAACAGCCTGAGATTAATCAGGAGGAAGGCATATCGAAGCAGCCCCTGACAGGGAGTCAAGAGGAAGAATGTTGGCTTGATCCTAAGCAGCGTCATAGGAAGAAACGTGAGCAGCAACGTAGGAGGCGTGGGAGGGTCAGAGAGTGAGCTGAGTCATTGAGCCACACCCCACAGGGGATAAAAGTGGGTGTGTTGTCGGCTGGAACTTTGTATGGGACGAAGTTTAATCTTGCTTCAGGTTTTCTTTGTGAATGATTTTATGGTCTGCCTTATAATTTTTTGGAAGTAGCTTTTTACTTGTTATCAGTTTGGACTTGGCAGGCAGAGGGTGTTGGAATGCCAAGGACATTATCAGTTCCAAAGAATTAACTCTATGAAGTCCGAGCCAGCTTGCCTGCCTGTGTTTGTGTGAGTTTATACTCTTGCATCTTTTGGAAAGAAGAAAGGTGAGACAGAACATATGGGTAAAGGACAGACATCATACTTATAACAAAATGCTGCCACACGTAAGAAGCAGTAAGAAGCAGGATGCAGTGTGCCTTACTATAAGTGTTCAAGCTGAATCCAGCAATGTATTTGCAAATTATTCTGAATTAAATCAACCCTACTGCTTCCTTTGGACAGAGGAAACTGACCCATGGGTGCACTTGAACCAAAAAGGAATATATCAAAAGATTTATTTCTGTTGATACTTTTTTGAACCCTCCAAGTCCACAATTTCCACATTTATATCCTTTGCAGTTTGCTGCCGGTTGCAAGTCTCTGCCCATGTATTTTGCTGAGGGTGTGAACTCACTAAGAGTACCCGCATCCAAAGAGTTACATCATGCTACATTGCCATATTCTGCACTCTGAGATAGATGGCCTTTGTTTGTATTTCATTTCATCTGGTAGTTTGTTATTTATCAAGCCTTTTATACAAATATCCAACGTACAGTCCTCCTATTTTCCCCACCCTGTGAAGTGGGTAAAGCTGAGAATGAATGACTGGCTCAAAGTCACTCAACTAGCTTTCATGGCTGAGATCAGTCTGCCATTTTCTAGCCTGGAGCCTTAATCACTAGATCAAACTGGCTCCAATTAAAGATAGCCCTGTGGGCTCCATTTTTGCTGGCAGAGGAACCTCGGGCCAGTCCACTGTTTCCAGGGTGACCCCGCAGGCCACATCTAATCACCCTGTCCGCCAGATCTGGCCCGCGGGCCTTGTGTTTGACACCCCTGATCTTGACCTTTTTCAGTCTGCATTCAGGCTGGACACAGCACTGAAACAGCCTTGGTCAAGCTTGTCAGTGACCTTTGGAGGACTTGGGATTGAGGTGGTGCACCTTTCTGGACCTCCTGGTGGCTTTTGACACTACCGACCATGACATCCTTACAGTCCAGCTTTGGGGGCTGGGATGAGAGGGCCTATGCTACGGTGGTTCACCTTCCATCATGGCTGGTTCTAGTCAGTGTTGGTAGAAGAGGAGAGGCCATCTGATGGAGCAAGTGGATCAGATCTAAGGTGGACTCTGGCCTTGGAGCAGGTTCTGTGGGGGCTGGGGATGGCTTAGTTATCTGGGGGAAGTTTGATCCCTTCAGGCGACAGGATGCCCATAACTGTTAGCTCAGCCACTTATGTTAGATCCCAGGATTAGATATCCCACCCACCCCCGGGCTAGGTGGGGACCAATTCTTCATTGAGAGAGGGGGTGGTCACAGTGCTGCCTTCCCATCTCATAAGGCCATTGTTGAAGGGTGTACAGAAAGTGTTTGAGCTGCAGCTTCAGGAGGCCTTAGAAGAAGTGGATCATCTGGACCCCTTTCAGTTTGAGTTCAGGTCTGGGTATGTACCCCGGATATAGATGGCATTGACTGCACTCTTGGGTGTCCACTGGCAGGAGAGGGATGATGGTAGTGCATCCATCCTTGCTCCTCTTGACGTAGGAGAGATCATGGTATCCTGGCTAGGCTCTGGGAGTTGGGGTTGGGCAGCACCTTTTAATGCTGGTTGTCTTTGTTCCCTTGGGTTGGTTCTAGTTGATGTTGGGAAGGGGGAGAGAAGCCCCTCTTTTGTGGGTTGTTACAGAGCTCAGTGCCTTCTCCTATCCTGTTTTAAGATTACAATGATGACATTAGGATATTTCCATCAAAGATTGTCTGAATGGTGTGTGCGTGTAGTTTTGTCTCAGAGCCTGGAGGCTGTGAGGGCCTAGATGGGGCACAAGAAGCTTCAGCTTAATTCAAAGAAAACTGAATGGATCTGGGGTTTTGGACCTCCTGGTTCAAAGACCTTCCATATTTGGTTGAGAATAGATTAATACCAGCTTAAAATTGTGTCAGCCCTTTGCAGCAGACCATACCAGGAAGCCGAGATTATGCTAATATTTACTCTTTTTACAAGGTTATGGTAACATTATCTTGCAACTCTGAATGTATCTATTCTTCCCTTCAAGAGAACTAGGGAGGTTTTTGTCTGAGATGTTTTCTCAAATCTTGCCCGAGACCAAATATTTCTTTTGTTTGACCATTGTCTCGGCTATGGCTCTTTCTCTTACTCCTCAAGTTTATTCTTATTGCCCATTAGAATAGAATAGAATGGGTTGGAAAGGACCTTTGAGGTCTTCTAGTCCAGCCCCCTGCTCAAGCAGAACCTATACCATCTCAGACAAGTGACTGTCCAGTGTCTTCTTAAAAACTTCCCATTATGGAGTGCCCAAGTTTTCTGGAGTCCAGCTGCCCAACCTCCCTGTGAGGAAGTTTCTCCTTAATTCCAGGTAGCTTCTCTCTTTCATTAGTTTCATCCATTTCTGCTTCTACCTTCTGGTGCTTTGGAGAATAGGTGGACCCACTCCTTCTTTGTGGCAGCCCCTCAAATATTGGAATGCTGCCAACATGTCACCCCTAGTTCTTCTTTTCTCAAGACTAGCCAATCCCAAATCCTGCAGCCATTCTTCATCTGTTTTAGTCTTCAGGCTTTTGATCATCTTAGTTGCTCTTCTCTGAACTTTTTCCAAAGTTCACTACACAGAGCTAGTGTGCAAACCAGGATCCTACTGGACTCATGGCTCTTGCTTAAGAAGCAGTTGGTAGCCCTGCCTAGGACGACATTTGCACTTCAGACCACACATCAATTGTACCCAGGCCTGGACTGGGGTGTGTGTGTGTGAGGTGTTTCTGTTTATGGCCATGCCTTTGTGACCTCCAGATTGTACTACTGCAATGAGCTTTAAATGGAGCTGCCCTTAGAAGTGCATTTGGAAGCTTTAGTTGGTGCAAATTACAGTGACACAGGCATTACATGCCCTTGAAAGCTTGTTTTGCCCAAGCCTGGGGCCCTGGGATTAAGCCAACCTCCTGACTGTGTGGCTAATTGAGTGGTTGATGTCCAGCTATGTATTTTGAGTATTTTTATTGTGGAGCTATTGAAGAGATGGGAGGCAATATAAATCAAATAAATTGATTTTGGGGATACAGAATACAGAACAACAGATGAAAGGAGATGACCCTGAAAGGCTGAATAGCTTCAGCAGGCAATCTATTAATGTCATCATTGGACTAGGTTTAAACCTGCTTTGGGATGCAAAATGTGGCTGCTCACAGGCTTACTAGGGATTAGCAGCAGCAGCAACCAGGGACTTTTAAGGTCAGTTAACACCACTGGGCTTTTCACCTTGGACAACCTTTTCAAGGTGCTTTTGCTCACAATCTCCCTCTGGGGAAGATCTTAGCTGAAGACCTTCTTTGCCTGCCTTTGAATTCTTTATATGATGGGCACAAATGGCTTGGCTTGTTGCTACAGGCATTGTGCTTTGAGAACTTTGAAAAGTCTGAAAAATGCATTGTTGGTAGCTTCCTACAAGAAATGTGGATCTTAATAGAAATAGGACTGGCTCCATATGCCGGTTATTTAGTCACTGAATTTTAATTGTGAACTATTCATCTTTATGAATGTTGTAAGCTACTTCACATCCTTTAGATGCATCAAAACTTCCTTTAATAAACATATAAGGCACCTTGGCAGAAAGCAAAGCTAGAAATGAAGTTAGACTAGTGTGGTTCATGAATAATTATCAATATATAGAATAGTTACACAGCACAGAATACCAGGGTTGGAAGGGACCTTGGAGGACTTCTAGTCCAACCCCTTGCTCAAGCAGGACACTCTATACCATTTCAGACAAATAGCTCTCCAATGTTTTTTTCTTAAAAAAAAACTGCAGTGATGGAGGCACCCACAACTTCTGAAAGCAATTCAATCTATTCATTTTTGTTTCAGGAAAATTCTTAGTTCTAAATTGGATCTCTCGATAAGTTTCCACTCGTTACTTCTTGTCCTGTCTTCAGGTACTTTAGAGATAGGTTAACACACTCTTCTCTTGGACAGCCACTCAAATATTGGAAGGCTACTGTATCACCCTACTCCTTGTTAAGCTAGACAGTGCCAGTTCCTGCAACCATTCATCGTGCTTTTAGCCTCCAGATCCCTTACCATTTTTGCTGTTCTCTGCATTCTTTTTAGAGAACTTTTTTTTTTCTACTGTGGTGACCAAAACTGGATGCAGTGTTCCAACTGTAGTCTTAGCAAGGCAGTATAAAGTGGTACTGATACTTCACATGACCTTGATATAATCCCTCTGTTAAGGCAGCCTAGGACTGCATTGGCTTTTTTGGTAGCTACAGCATACTGCTGGCTCATAATTAAATGGATTTCATTTTGTTAGATAGGGCCCAGTGTTCCAGTTTGTTGAGACCCTTCCAGATCTTTAGCCTATCTTCTGGTGTATTGGCTATTCTAAATGATTGTCTAAATTGTTTATGAAGATATTGAATAATATGGGTCCAAGACGTACTTCCTTCCATGTATAGTTCCATTCAGGACTATACTTTGGTGACGCTGTGTATCCAATATTTTTCTATTTTACCAAGTGGCAGCTTGTGGCCACTTCATCAAATTCCAAGCATACGATGTCCGCAGCATTTAACTGGTGCACTAATTTAGTCCCTTTGTCACAGAATGCAATAAGGTTTGACTGGCATGATCTGTTTTTGACCAATGTTGGCTTCTAATGATAGCTTACTTGTTTCTTGGTGCTTGCAGGTCCACTGCTTGCTTATCTTTTGGGATAGATATAACTGGACTCGGGAGGAGGACTGATTCTAGACCATTGTGGTTTGCCAGGAGACGCGTGAAGGGAAGAAAGGGTGCATGCTGCCGATGGTGACCTAGGAAAGTTGGCTGAAGCCTCTCCAGAAGGCCTGTGGGGCTTCTGTGTGCCTAGCTTCCTTCCCCCTGGAGCTCCATCTCCTTGCCCAGAGCGTCGGATTTCTCATCCAGCTCAGAGGCCCTTGTCATTGCTACTCTGCCAGGCCTTACCACGTGAGCTCATTTCAGCCCACAAATAAACCAGGCAGAGAGGGCAGGTCATGACCCATCCACCCCCTTGGGATGGGTTCCAGACGCTGCTGGCCAAACAAACCTGATCCGCTTCCTTTTTTGGGAAGAGATATCCCACCACTAACAGATCTCAGCAGTAGAGAAGCACTAGGTGCTCGGTTGCCAAGGGCCTAGAGTGGGGGCAGAGCACCCCCCCCCTTCAAATGCTACACCAGCCACCCTCTTTGCATGGACCGTAACTAACGTAGCCGAGTGCCTTCTACAAGCAGCAAAAGGTCTGATCCAAACTCACTCCCTTTCCCGAGCTTTCTGAGCCCCCTGAACGGGAAAGCCATCATACCCTGTAGCTTACTTTGGCTGATGTTCCCTTGCTATGAGCACCGCTTGCCAGAGTCTTGACTTCTGTTGCAGGCATTTTGCCCTCCTTCCCACTCTGGAGAGCCTTGGGCTGCAATTGGTTGCGGTGAGAGCAACCCCTCAATTTTGTCATGGGGCACCTTTCCCCTTCCTTGCACTAAATCCTGGGTGGCGAAGAGGTCCGGGCACACTCAGCAGCATCAGGTGGTCGGTGGTTTGGAGGAGGAAGTGCTGAATTCTTTTAGGATTTCGGAAACAGCTCAGTGAGAAGACGAAACGTTGAATCCAGCATAGAAAACCCATCTCATGCCCCCATTCTCCAGGTGAGTTAATAATGAACACTCCATTAACATGATTTATTAGAGAAAGTCAGAAAAGGAGGGGAGAGATCCACGGACTAGAGGTAAGCAGCTCCACCAACAGGCAGATACCCAGCTGTGGTCTCCCCAACAGCAAAGCATTTGAGGGAATGGCTACATAGTGCATTTAAAGGAACATGCAGAGCATTTCACCAAAGAAAAGTAGAAAGAAATCCAGGCCAGAGAGAGCAACAAAGCCCCTTCCTTCCAGGTGGGCAGGCAGACTTGAAGGGTGGGAGACTCCCAGGACAGAAAGAAGCAGGTAGAAAGTCCAGGCCCAGAGGCGGGGAAGGGAAGGAAGGTCAGGGGACTCAAAACTCAAGCCGAGGGGTTGGGAAAGCAAAACATGGGAGCCTTTGCTGGTGCCTTGCAAACTTTTTTTTTCAGAATCCCCCCCAGGGATTCCTGGAGACAAAGCAAAGGTTGGGGGGGGGGCTGCCAAAGGGCCAGCTGCCACTCCAGGACTTTGCGGGGGTGGGGGGTGGATGAGAGAGATGGTCCCCCATGGGGGCCTTGGGGACGGAGGTCTCCTTTCCTCTGAAAAAGGGGACAGCCTGGGAAGAAACATGACGGTGGAGGGGGGAGTGCTGAGCTTGCTCCTACTAACTGCTGGACAACCGGGGTGGCTCCCAGGGAAGAAGCACTTGGGTGGGAGGCGGAAGGCTGCTGCCCTCTGAGAGGCCCCGCCCTGCCCTCTTCCGGGCCCAGAGGGAAGTGGCCCTCCAGGCAGGTCACGGCTGGGGGTGGGGTGGACTTCACTGCCATGCTGCTAGTGAAAAAGGGAAGCGGCTCGAGCTCCTCAGGCAGCAGGCCAGGTGAGAAGGCTGCCATTTTGGTCTGGCAGGAAAGGCGGCTGGCGCCAGTCAGCAAGAATGCCAGGAAGGGGAGGGCCATCCCTGCCCTGCCGCCCCAGGAGGGAACTTTGGCACACACACAATCTGGAGGGCAGCTGCCTGGGATGCCCTTTCAGAGGCTGCCGGCACAATCACGACACAGGACCTCGTCGTTGTCAGGGATGAAGCCCTTGCCCACCAGGGAGGCAGCACAGCGGGAGCAGATGAAGCAACTCTGGTGCCAGTGGCGGTCCTCAAAGGAGATGTACTTGCCTCCCCCGAAACCTGTGGAAGAAAGAGGAGGCGTGGGACCCTGCAGGGGAGCTGGCTCTCTAGAGCCCTCCCCAGGCTGGGGGACCCCCCCACTTGACTCACCTGTGATGGGCTTTGCGCAGGCACTGCATTTCTTGGCGTAGAGGCTGCCAAAGCACTTGACGCAGTAGGGCTGGTCCTCCTGGGAGGTGAACTGCTGCCCAGCCAGGGGGGCCTCGCAGCCTGTGCAGACGAAGCACTCCTTGTGCCAGGGCTCGTCCCGGTAAGTCACTCCTCCCTTGGTCAGCGACTGCGAGCACAGGAGTGGAAGCTCATCTCAGGGGCTGGCTGGGGCCCCCCTGCCGCCCTAGGACGCTCCTACCAGCCACATCCCCCTCCCTCCCCCCTCCAGTGGCCAAGACCCAACCTGCTTGCAGCGGGTGCACCGGGGCGCAAATTTGCTCTCGTAGCAGGAGACGCAGTAGTACTCCTTCTGCTCCGGGATGAAGGAACGAGCGCCAATGGGCTGCTGGCAGCTGCTGCAGACAAAGCAGTGCTCATGCCAAGTCTGCCCGTTGTACTCCAACTTCCGAGAACCTGTGGGCAGAGAGAGGGGGGAGGGTGAGCCCCCGAAAGCCCAGGGGCTGCTGGGCCTGGGTTTGGGGAGAATCATCACTGCACCTGGCATGACCACCTGCTGGCAGGCCACACACTGGGAGGAGAACTCCTGGCAATAGCAGCTGTTGCAGAGCAGCTCCTGCCCCTGGCAGGTGAAAGGCTCGTCGGCCAAGGAGCGGTCGCAGCGGAAGCAACGGAAGCAGCCCTCGTGGTAATGGCGATCCTCATAGTAGAGCTCCTGTGGGGGAGGGGGGGGGAGAAGCAGGGGTCAGAGGCCAGTTTCCTTCTGCTTCCAGGCACCTGGGATTGAGGTTCCTCTCCCTCCTGCGAGGGGTCTCTCCAGGCGTGCAGGTGGCCCTAGAAATAGATGAGCCCGTCCCTGTTGGCTGCCACCTGCAGCTCTCTCCAACGCAGACATATTATTATCTGCTTTGGCTCAGCCCAAAGCAGACGAGGCGCTGCCCTTGCTCGGGAGACCCATCCACACGGGCAAACAAGACTCTACCCAACAAAGGGTGAGAGGAGACAGTGCCAACACCAGAAGCAGGCTGCAACAGACCCCCTTTACTTTGCCCTCTTTACGTCTAAAGCACCGTCATCACAGGTCCCAACACAAGGTAGTACACACCAGGTCAGGGGCTTCTCTTCCACTAATGGGACCTGGCCTATCAGGACGAGGGGGACAAACTTGGTGCAAAACAATTAAGTTTGGCAATAGCAACAAAGCCATATCAGGGCCTTTCAACCTCCCAGGACATCAGGTTATCTCCAAGTAGCTGTCTTGGAACAAAGACAGGTGAGCAAGAGCTTTCTGGGTTTGCACACATCAGACTGTCAGGCATTCAGGCTGTCTTCATAAAGACAATGGGCTTTTTAAAAAAAAAAAACATCACACAGACATGCATACAAACAACTGATAAAGCTCTTGAACTCCATTTTAGACTCAATCTGTTTCTGCATCATCACCTCGCCTCCCTCCCTCTCTCCTCTTTTGAATCCTGTCAATCCACCCCCCCCCCACCTAAGGCAAGGGCACCTCCAGAGAGCAGACTGTTTCCATTTCGTAGCATGTGTGAGTCAAGAGACTCCTGGATCCCTTCTACACATTCTCAGGACTGGAACCTGGAGAGATTGCTCCAAGGAATGTACCCCGGTAGGCATAGTAAGGGCCTTGGGGGGAGAAGGACCAGGAGCTTTCATATTGGGGGCTAGGAGAGAGGAATAAACCAAAGAGGCCAGCAGCTGAGACGATGGGTCAAAAGTGGAGCCTCCAGAAGGCCAAGGTCTCTTCTCCAGGCCCAGGAGCCCAAGAAGTTGCTCACTGAGGTGGCCGGCCTTCCTTAGCTATCCTTAGCCCCAGGGGAATGCTGGGGGGCCTTGAGGGTGATTTCTTTTGGCTACTGTCTTGATCACCTGATAGCATTTTATATTTTCTCAGGCTCTCCTTTTAAAGGTCCCCTGTGAACTGGGGGGGGGGGGGGGGGGGGAGCAGGGGCAGTCTGAGCAGAACTGGGGCACCTCACCCGGCAGTCATGGCCAATCAGCTCCTTGCACTCATCACAAGTGTTGGCAAAGTGTGTGTCATAACATGGGATGCAGAAAGGACCCTCATCTCCCTGGATGTACTTGCGCCCGTAAAGAGACTCCTTGCAGCTGGCACAGTCAAAGCCTTCCGTCATGTTGCTGGCTGGAAGTTGAGGTGCTTCCTGGGAAACAAGAAAAACAAACCGCCGTTGACTTCCCCAGCCAAGTTTCGGGGGAAGATCTGCCCACCTTCCTTTTCTAGGCATACCCACACAAGCCGGGGGAAGGAGCTGCACAAGCCACCCCTTGCCCTGGTGCTGAGTGGTGAAGGAGCTGCAAGGTAAACAGAAGCTTTCAGAATCCAACTCTGGACGCAGTTTTCTAAATGTCTGGAGGGGCTCAGTGTTCAGCGGCTCTCAGCCTTCACTGGCGATGCCAGCCGTCCATTTAAAAACTCTGAGTTTTGGGGACACCCTTGGCTAGGGAGCCCTCCAGCTTCCCTTGGCTCTCAGCCAGGCACCCATCTGGGATTGGGGGCAAATCCATCACTCCACACTGGCAGAAAGCCAATTCTCCCCAGAAGCTTTCATAGAGGCCGCCCTCCCACATGGCCAGAGTGGTGAGGAAGGGAGCACCTTTGCTCTGCCCTGGCCTTCCAGGGCAGCAAACGCAGGGGAGTTCCTCCAGACCTCTCCTCTCCTGCCAGTCACCTAGACAGCTTCCTCATCCGATGAGCAAGGAACTGCTGTCCTCTTACAAGAGAGCCAATGGGCTGGTCTCCAGCCAGGAGTTCCCGTGTTAGCATGCCTGGACTAGCTGTCCTGAAACTGGGAGAGGGTGAGCAATCACTGTAGCCTCCAGGAAATTCCAGCATTTCAATTCTTTTTGAAATAAACCAGAGGAGGAGGGAGTATGAAGAGGGAAACTGCAAAAGCAGCACATGCAGTGCCATGTTGCAACAGAAGCTCAACTTCCACTGATCCTTGCCAAGCCAAAGGCCCCATCTCCTGGCACAAGGGCTCTCTTGAGCAGAACCATCACACCCTGGCTCTCCAATAGCAGTGAATGGCTAGCCAATGGCTAGTTTGATATTCCACAATATGAACAAAATGGCTAGTTTTACAATCAATAATACCTGTTTAGCTGCTATATAAGAAAGACAGGCCTTTATTATTTGATCTAACAACTCCAGTGAACCTGCTCTCCTGCAATATTCCAAGTGGACGGCGTGCAAGCATCGTCTTTTGTCCCTTCTCCAAACTAAAAATATTTCCTTATGTTTGAAACTGGACGTCCAACAGTGTCCAGGGACAACAGCCCTCCTCCTATGTGCTCCTCATGTGCTTAGAAACAGAGGCTATTTTGTAGGTCTCACTATGCCTCACTTCCCTGTGAGTCAACATCTCACCTCCACAAATGGTGAGAATGAGGCTCCCACAGCAGTGGGGGGCAAGAGAGCCAACTCCTTAACAAATTCCTCCTCTAAAACCAGAGTTTGCACTTGGGCAATGGGACGGCCTGAAGGAAACAGGAGAAGAAAGGGGAAGCTTTCAGTGGCGCTCAGTGAAACAAACATGGACAAGAGCCTGCAGCTGTGGACCTGCAATGCTGGTCTTCCTGCCTGAAAACAGTGTGGTTTGCATCGGTTGCATTGGCAAGTTTGTGACAGTCTGTGAAGAACCGGAGCAGCAGCAGCAGTCACACCTGAGTTGGTGAGAAAGGATGTGCAAAGGATGTGCATGTGCAAAGGCAGGAGGTGCTAGAATGAAGACTTCCTCCACAAGAAGACAAGACGAACTGGGAGCAGCCCAGGAAAGGAGGGCCATGACCAGAACCGAAGGCGTTAGAAGCCCTCCAGAAACCTTGTTCAGGCTCTTAGAAGCCAAACATGGCAACAGAGAAAGAGAGGCTGGATCTCCAAAGCCTGCTAAGGAGGAGATTGTGCCAGATAAGAAGACAAAGAAGAACCACCAGTAGGTGGTGATTCATGACTACAAAAGGAATGGAAACAAAAGGTATGTTGACTGGACCTATTAGCTGAAGAGTTACACTGTCTGCCTGGAGTAAAGATCAAGGACATGTCAGGACAACTCGCAAGACCTTTCCATTCCATGAGGCAATCATCCCTTCCTGCTTAGAGGTGTGGAAGACATGGGGGGGGGGGGAGATGCAGCCGAGACACCCCAGGCTCCTCCATCCATTTGGTCTTCAGGCCTCTTTGACCGACTGAGAGGCAAATCAGATCCCTGCAAGTCATGACACGGCTACACAAAAGGGGTGACCATGGGGGTGGGGTGGGGAAATGGTTTCTGAGGCCAGGGCCTGAAACATCTACACAAAGGACACTTGACATCAAACAAGGGTTGGGTGGGGGGGAGAAACGTGCTTGGTTAACAAGGTAAAATTAGTTTGGGAGGCTTTAAGTAGCAATTGAGGATGAGAAACCCCGTCCCATAGAGAGACATGCATTGTAGAAAGGGAAGATGTTGCTGGAGGAGGGCCTTTTAGAGTAGGGGTCCCAGGGCCAGGGCCCATTCAGAACTAGGCCGGGCAAGGGGCAGGCAAGTGCACAGCTCCACTTGCACATGGTGTGAGGCTCCATTTATGTGAGCAGCGGGTGCACCCAGAGAGCTTCACGTGTGAAGCCATCGCTTGCACAAATGGAGCTTCACACACAGGTGTGATTGCCTGCCACTCAAAAGGCACCATTTCCTCTTCCCTGGCCTCCCCCACCGGTCCGCAAAGTTGGCAAGGGTGGGAGCCACGGTCTTAAACCACCTGAAGAAAAACCAGAATATTGGCTGATGAGGTTCATGACCTCCGCTGCTTCTACAGTAACGCTCAGTGTAAAAAATGAGAGCGAAAACAGGACAGGCTCAAGGGAGATCAGGTGGAGTCACCAAAATGCAACAGTTATTCAAAAGAAACAGAAGCAACAAGAAAGGCAGCAGGATTTACTTGACAGAAATCTAATCCAGGGTAGCTCTTTGTTTTGAGTGAGTTGAAATCTCCAGGACCAGTTAAACTGCAGGGAAGAAAGGAACCGAAGGGCAGGCCCAGGCAATCCTTTGGTGCCTTCATTTGCCTTTGAGAAACCCAGAACAGGGGAGTGCAGGGAGGCTGGGAAAGGGCCCGCATGGTCCCTGCCTCGAAGGAAAAGGCAAGAAAGGAAACTCCGAGAAATTACAGAGCAGCCTCAGAAGAGCACATGGAAAACGTCAGCATGGGCTTTCCTGCCAGATCCATCTCATGCTTTTGACTGGATAATTTCCCCAGTGCATTGCACACTGCTGTAAACGTGTATCTTGTTTTCGGTGAAGTATTAGATAAGGTCCACTGTGGCAGGCTGCTGTTGTTCTAGGATTCTTAGGATTTTCCTGGCCCCCAAAACATCTTAAAAGATGATGATCAGTTGTTATTCCTCATCAAATGGAGGCATGCAACAGGTGAGATGCCCCAAAGATCATTCCTGGCCTTTACGATTACGGAATGATTAAAATTTTGGATCAAGAAGGATTAAGATGGAGAAAACGCTTGTGAAATTTGCACAAATGTAGAATAGTTCATACCCTAAAAGACAGAAATATACAGTAATAAGATTCACAACAAACATGAGAGATAGGGGAAAAGGGCTGAGAGTAATGAAATTAAATTTAACATGAATAAGGAGTAAAAAATAATGCTCAGATATGCAACTGAATAGGACCCAGCAGGGCCCCTATCAGCTAAGAAGCTGTGCCCTTTTAGGTGGGTGAGGGGGTGGTATCATGTTCCATAGACAGGATAGCAACCCCCCCCCCCCCCACTTCAGTCGGATGCCTCTCAAGGGCTGTCCCATTCTGGATGCCCCCCTCCCCTTAAGAAGACTTCTGGAATAGGTTCAATGTAGACCCTGTGAAGAACAACTGGAGGAGCTGAGAGAACATCCTTCAAACATCGGGCTTTTTTTCTCCTTCCCAAGGGAAAGCCCCAGAGCAAGGCATCTGCTCCAGAAAGGCATAGGGTACAGATTCACAGGACTGGAAGGGACCTTGCAGGTCTCCTAGTCCAACCCCCTGCTCAAAAAGGAGACCCCATACCATTTCAGACAGGGATGGAACACCCATAACCTCTGGAGACAGGTCATTCCACTCGTTGTGGCAAGCATGGCCTCCCTGTGTCTAGGCCCTTTGAATTCTTGTACTGGCCTGCGAGGGTTTCTTTGGCCTGGAGGCAACCTTAGGGGTGACATGCTAAGCTTATTGGTCTGCCAACCAAGGAGGCTGGAAAAGAGATGCTTCCCACATGACCTGGTCTAGAACCTTCCCTTAAAAGCCTGCTTCTCCTTCCCTCCTGTGGGGCCAGAAGCAATGGGAAAGGCATTTGTCCACAACAGACAAAGTGTTTGAAGGCTTCCAGAAAGAGTGGAATTGTTAAAGTTATTAAGTCATCCATCGCAAGCAATTCTTGGAATTGTGGCTCACCTGGGGTCTTCTGAATAACTCGACTCCCTTTTCAGTGAGCCGAGAGCCAAGTAGATGGGCAGATGGGGAGAAGCAGCCAGCAGTTCCCTGGCAGCCCAAGACGAGAGAAGAATGCACCTTCTTCCCCGGCCTTGGCAACTCTGCCCTTTGCCTTCCCAGAGCCCAGCATGCTTGAGCACAGGCCCCACAGCCAGAGTCCCGGGTGGTCTGATTATCCAACCCGTGTCCTCATCGCATGCAGGGCTCCCCAAAACAAGCAGGGCTGGAAGGGAGGAAGCTGCCCTGTCGCACTCAGGCCAAACCAAAACAGAAAACTGGAGGTGGAGACGGTGCCCCTTAGAACTGGCTGGGTGTTCAGCCGGGGAGGCAGCAGCTCTCCATCTTCCACATCCTCAAGTTGCTCAACTGCTCCAGGGAACTTTTTTTCCCCAAATTTGGTCAAAACAGGCTCGCTGCTGCTCTGTGCTGGTGACTCTTTGTTTGGAGAGCTGCCATGGGGAGGGGAGGATATAAATCAGGTGTTTAAGGGTGTGAAGGCTTTGCAACCCTCCCTCCCTGATGAGAAATCAAGTCAAGTGGTGGGATCCTGCGTACTGACAGTCAAAGGAACCTTTGATCTCTTTTCCAGCAAGGAAACCCCCCCCCCCCCCATTTCAGTCAGAAAAGACAGAGAGCTGACAGGCTCAGGCTCTTCTTCTCCAGCCATCTGCTGCTGTGTG